TAATATTATGTGTACATGCTTCCAAGAAACACTACTCTAATAGTTTCTACGAGACCGAAATTGGGACTATAACGTTTACTGATTAGGACATCATTTTGACGCTTTATAATAATATCAGGAATTATGTCGACCCGATGGTTTTGTGTGTCGTCGAAACAAATAGTCGGCAAATAAATAAATAAATAGGCTTACGAATCTCAGTGCATAAAGTTAAGTAACCGAAGAATAAGATTTAAAAACTAATATAAAGAAAACCGAGCGTCGAAATGAAACGAAATCTCGCCAGATGTTACGGAAACTGTTTATATTAACGGCTTCACAGCGTAGAGCATACAAAATTCAAATACCTTTAAAATTGTTGTCGAATAAACTCAGGATTCGACAAAAAATTGGAAGTAAATATTTCTGAGACGGCCGTGACACATACGGACCAGAGTTGTAGCTCTGTTCCGTTAAAACGAATCGGTCGGTAAATTTCTTCAGATCAACAATACTATAGTATAATATATTATAGCCTATAGGTGTATAGGAAAAAAAACAAGGACAACATTGACCAACCCATATAGTATCATGATGGCAAAAAGTATTAATTTTTTTGGCTGTAAATATTCAATAATGGTAATCCAAATTATAATTATTACGGTTTAAGTTGAACTGATAAAACATACCATTAAATCAATCTCAAGTTTTCATCAGATAAAACTGATTTGTATGTTTGTGACATAGTAGTTGCCTTCATCGTGTTTAATTACCTACTTTAATTGTTTTGTCAAATTAATATATTATACAACTTAAATCACAAACGACAAACATGTTCAATTTATTGAGAAGTTTTTAAAGTGAATTTCGCTATGTCCAATTTTTCAATCAAAAGATAAAATTCTTTATGAAACTACCGTGAATTTGTAATTATTCAGCCAACTTAATATATGCTCAAAGTTATATAATACATCATACTCAAAGTTTTCAATCAACCGTTTTATTCTTGAAACAAAATAATTATTTTTATTTGAAACATTAGTGGTAAATTGCAAACTAAAAACGATTTAAAACAATTCTTATAATTTCGATTATAGTTTGGTATTGGTACTGTTGTCGTAAGTTGTAGCACCATTATTTTTATTTTTATTTTCGCTGTAACGGGATATTTTTCTCTTTATCATATTTTTTCTTTTGTATATTTGCCCTTTTGGCCATTTTTAGAACAAAATCGATGAAGATTTTTTTATGAGATTTGAAAAAAAATTGACAAAGGTACAGTAAAATATTTCGGTATGAATATTATACGGATTAATAATGAATGATTTTGTAAACGAATGCCGCAAAATAATCAATATTGATTTATTAACTTCTATAATAGGTATGCAATAAAAGACCTTTTAATGAGCAAGAATTTTTTTTCACATAGATTATTCGCAAAAAAATTTCAATATCATATCGAGACCATCATTTATAATACAGTGAAACTTCCATATAATGAACTTCCAATTAACAAAATTTTCCTTACTTTTGAGAACCAAATTTATTCAATTTTATATAACGAAATTCTCTGTTATATGAATTTTTTTATGCCCCTTGAGACTTCGTAATATGAAAGATTCACTGCATTATTATGTTTACGCAAATGTATGTTACTTGGCACGATTCACGTACACCTTTACACGTAGAAAACCAAACACGCCTTCCATTGTTTTTTCTTAACATTTACAGCCGTAAGTTAGTTTTATTTTTGTTTGAAAATTAAAAATTAAGGGTGATTTTAGTTTTTAAATACGATCTCTCCAGTAAATTTAATGTTTTCAATAGTTTCGAATTTTTATGATAACCCAATTCATTTGGATGGAATATTACAATATAAGAAATTTGATATTTTAAATGTCCCAGCAATTTGGATTATTTAAAATTGTTGTTTCAAAGAAAATATATATATATACATATTATATTTATATACCTCTGATATTATTTTCACAATGAATAAAACAAATTTTAATTCGTGTATTTCAATTGACTCTAATTAGAAATCTGTATTTGTGTATGAGAAAAAAATGATTTGAATTAATAAAACATTAATGCAGATAAAGCTTGTTTAGATATGAGTCGTTGTTGCTTTTGTTACTTATACAACTTAGAGTGTTTCGCTAATGTACTCCTTTTTAACTGTAATTTAAAATGGTCAGAGGCAAATATAATGTGTTCGTCATCGATAAAAAAAAAAAAATCTATATATTTAAATCGTTGAAAACTGTTATTGTGATTTCTGCGAAATGGGAATTTGACTTCATTTGTAATGCTTATATTTCATTTGAATGCGTTAACTTTAGAATTTTAAATACGAATTGCTACAGTAAACACTTAAAATTACGAGGACTTATAACATTTGTATTTCAATGTTATACCGATGAAAACTTTTATTTCCTTTGTATAGTTTATAGCAATAAAATGTTACATCCAATTTAATCACGGATTCATTAAAACTTATTTAAAGTAGTAAAAACATTAAGAATAATTAAAAGTTGCGGCTTTTTTTATTGTTTGAGAGCATTTAAATTGATTTGATCCTTACGGCGGCACAATGGCACATATTTTAAAAACATGTTGAATTAACATGAATATGTTTTCAAAAGTTGTATATAAGTACATTGGATTTTGTATCCTATACAAAAGTATATTACTCTTGGCAAAAGTTTGTTTTTATGGAATTTTCAAATATATTCTTTATTTATTGGCTTTATATTTGGCTATAGGCCATTCGTTGATTGCAAAGAACATTTTGCTGTATAATGCAGGCAAATATAAAACAAATAAAACGAAAGGGAGGAATTGACTAAGTTAAGGAATATTATGTTGAATAAAAAACTATGCCTTTAGATTTCAATATTATATTTCGTTAACATTTATATTTGTATCCAATGTAAACCAAATGGTTAATTCGATATTATTTATTTCTGAAAATTATGATTGCTATCTGAAAATAATTTGCTGCTGCTGAAGATTGAAATGATTAATTGTATACAAAGGTACTTAAATATTAAATATATAATTACTCTGTCAATAGTTATTAAAAAGATTCACATTTTTAAAAAAAATATCTAGAATTTATTTGGAATTATAATTATTAACTTTTAGACACTAAATAATAATGTATTATATCGTATTATTATTATGGTTCTAAATTTGAAATTTTTCAATTTAAATATTTAAACATTCACTTGTCTTGAAATATTTCAATGGAACTATGATAAATATTTTTATCATTTAAATGTATTCGATTATGGTTGATTAGAAAAGATTGTTGATTATACACATTGAAAATTGATAGGTTATAATGAATGATTTGTCAAACAAACCTTACGAATTATTAAGTTATACATTTTAGGTAGAGGCAAATCACTATCGGTTAATTTATCACTATTAGCGATTGGGTTTATGTGAATTAGCCATAGGAATTGGCTGTGATTTATCAATTATTTATTAGTATTCAATTTAATGAACACACTTTTAAAAATGTCCTATTGCTGTAAGTCATAACCCATGACTGTAAAAAGTAAAACCTTTTTGGTATAATAGACAATTTTTTTTTAATTTTTCCTATAAATGAAATATTTTAAGAAAATGCGTTTCATGAAATTTTGAAAACCACAATTCATTGATATAACTCATAATATAATAATATGTTATTAAAAAATATGTAAGTAATCTTATCCTACGCGGCTTGAACTTTGTTCGATCTCTTATTTATAATATCGTGACGAACTTTCCGCGGGTAAACGATGGTTACAAACCGTGGTCTCGTAGTGGTTATCTGATATACCGCGACTGTTATACACATACAATAACGCAAATGTTTAACAAGTCACATTGTGCTCGTCGGATAATATTCGGCAACGCGGATGGTTTTCACGGGGTATTCAAGCGATGGTGAAAAATTATATATATATATATAAATATTGTACAATACACTATTATACACAAGCCGGCTTGTATATATAGGAGGGTGTTAACCGATCTGATCTGGATTCGGCGAAGGGAAAAAATGGAAATGCTTATACATATATATATATATATATATTATACTGTACGAGCTCATCGTATATAATAATATGAGGTATTTCCGCTATTGTCGGTCGTGGCGGCTCGTTGTACACAATAACAAAAGCAGCGCTGCGCTGTTTGTTCGAACACATACATACACACATTCTCGGCCGGATATAATGGTACGTAGGCGTGTAATTTTCGGGTGGCGCACCAGTTGTCGAAAATCGTGAGAACTACCGCGACCCACATATTTATATATTTATGTATGTATATATATATTTATATTACAATATACAGCGTGATTCGCCGAGTACGCTCACCCTCGTCTCGCCCTTTGATTACGAATTTATTCAAATTCTGAGTTCTGGACCCCCGAGTATACTTAAAATCTTCTTTTTAAATGTCTAAGAGAGTATATTATGCTCTTTAGCAGTTTCCTGTGTCAGTTATTTTTTCTACTTCATAACAATTCACAATGAATTTGGGAAGCTCTCATTTGAAAAAACTAGTCTGTATCGTCACAGAACACTATAATATTATAAACTAGGCCGTAATATAATATTATTGGTGTTTGAAAATATGGACTTTAAAGTTTGCTTAAAATTTTCAAAATTCAGAAGTTATGTATAAAATAAGCATAACTATTAAAAAATCTCAGAAACAGCAACGAACAATGTGCGGGCTTAATGAATCACCCTGTATATTAGTGTTTAATGTGTTTTGTCATATACGGATTTGTCTTGACCGAACATACGGTCCATCGGGTTTTGTCACGTACACAAAACAGTTTTGTACTCACGTCGGAATTCTCACTCTCTCTCTCTCTCTCTCTCTCTCTCTCTCTTCACACACACATACAAAGCCACGACTACATTTTACTTACTTAGTTGTCCTTATTTTTTTTTTGTTTCCAAAAAGTCCGCAGTTTAATATTATTGTTATTACTATTGTTATTATACACTCACTGACTACGTTCAACTGGAACCCTTGGCTGATTTTCGGTTCGGTGCTCACTTGACACTCGTACGTCCCCGAGTCTTTGATCTGCGGCGACGTGATCCTGAGCGTCCACTCGTCCGACCCGTCCGAGTGCAGCGATTGGAAACGCTGGTCGTTCGTGTACGTTAGTATGCCAACGGTCAATATGTGCAGGTCACGTTTCCTGATCCACGACACCTGGAGAAAAAAAATAAATAAAAACGCCGCCCCTTTATAGTAGAACAATATAATACGAAATGCTCAGCACGCGAAAATACTTTAGCGAGAATTAAATTATCGTAAATAATATATTGCAGTTATTACATAGGTAAGTACTTGTAAAGGGCGAGTCACCGTGTTTTTCCCGTGCCCCAGTGTCGTAATAAGAGAAAACTGAACGATACGTACTCCCGATATGTATATAATATATGCATTGTTGTTAAATATAATTTATTGTACACGAGGTGATTATTCTTTTTATTTTTTTTACATAAATAACTTATTTTCTCCGTCTATTTGAGTGATTTTTAAATAAAAAAAAGGTGGGTAAGTGGATGTCGCTCTGCTGTACAGTAGGTTACAAGTGGGTCACTGTATAATGGATGATATTAAATTTGAATTCAACGATATAATATCATTGTATAAGAAAAACGATTCTGAGCGGAGACGGTATGTCAGTCTATGTATAAGACATATTATATATGTATATAATATGTCTTATAAAACAAAAAATTGACCTATAATAGGTACCTATAATAAATTCCAAATTAATCATATCACAATGTCCATTAGGTGCTTATAACGCGTTATACATCAACAAAAACCGTGATACTATCATAGATATATAATAGTACACTTTAGAAGTTTCAAGTACCCACGAATAATATTATTCAATCACAACAAAATAACTAAAATAGTTATTCTAGGTTTTTTAATATGTAATTTCGTCCAAATTTGAATTTAAAATGTCTGTAAAAAATAACTGTGTTCATATATTTTTTAGATTTTTTGGTTACAGTATGAACTATTTATGAGAACCTTTGTTTTAAATTTGCAATCCTTAGCTATAAAAACTGAACATTTTATAATTTATTAATTTCAATGATTGATAATTTTCGAGATTTTGATAAATTTTGTCAAAATCTGATATTTAAATGCTTATAAAAAAAAACTGTGCCTATGTATTTTTAATATTTTTCAACTGCTATTGTAACAATATATCAGGAGCCTTGTATTAAATTTTTACACTTTTTGGCCCAACAGATAAAACTTTATTGATATTTATAGAAAAAAAAACTAAAAAAAATTGAAAGCTGTAAATGTCCATAAACAGCTCAAAAAGAGTCAAAATATTTTCAAAATTGTATGGTGTATAGGAAATGCTAATATAAACATTCAGTGAAATTTTCATGTATCTACAGTTATATGTTTTTGAATTACAACAAAATAAGGAAATCGCTACATGGGAAATCGAGTGAATATTCAATGTTGTAAAAATTTGAATTTCAAATGCTCATAAAAATTTAATTTGACTTTCTTATAGACATTTTTTTTTTGATAAAGGTAGATAATCTTATAAGGAATCTTGTTTTTAATTTTCAAATCTTAGATTTAAAAAGAAAAATTTTTACGAATTCTTAACTCAAAATAATTTGCTAATTTTCGTGATTTTTCCATATTTTGTCAATTTTTGAACTTTAAATGCTTATAAAAAAAAATTGTGACTAAGGATTTTTAATATTTTTCATCTGCCTTTGAAACAATATATTAGGAGCCTTCTATTAAATTTTCAAGCTTTCGCAACCAACAAATAAAATTTTATTGCTATTTTTAGAAAAAAAACTAAAAAAAAATGGAAAATGAAAATGTCCCTAAACAGTTCAAAATAAATCAAAATATTTTGAAAATGTTATCGTGTATAGAAAATGCAAATATAAACAACCAGTGAAAATTTCATGTATATACGTTCATTTGTTTTAGATTTACACCAAAAACCAAAATCGATTTTTTGGAAAACCAATTTTGCTTAAAAATTCCCGTTTTTCCTTAATTTTTAAGTTGTTTTTCCCGGCGCTTGTGAAAACTACTGAGAAATTTATACTTTTGACCCCCCAAAGTACCAACTAGATTCACTTTCCTATCAGAAAAGCTACTGATGAAGAAAATCCAAGCACTTTTACTGTCCTAAAACGTGATGACAGACACAAAAATAAAAAAAAAAATAAAAAAATAAAAAACAAATAAAAAAAAAAAAAAAAAAAAAACACACATCATTGTAAAATCAATACATTCATCGTTTCACTCAGAATCTAAAAGTTCGACGACCACTATGTGCATGCTATAACCTATTATAAAAATATATAAAGCAAAAGGTGATCTGTACTTTTCATAAATATGAAATGTTAAAATATTTGTCTTAAAATCTTTAAGTATAATAAAATACCGTTTCCTGAATCAATTTTATACAATAATTATTTATAAGAATATATTTGAAGCTTAGTCGAGTTGAGTAGCTAGTAGTGTTCGATATTAGTTACCTAAAACGTGGTGTTCTGGATTTATCGTAAATCTATACGAAATTATGTACAATATATAGTACATAATTATAGTACATAAGTTATCTTTTTAAAAATGCAAAAACCTATAAAAATTAATATGAAAATTAGATTTTTTGTTGTAAAAGTATCGTTATAATAATAATAATAATAATAATAATAAGTAATATAATAGTGCCAGTAACTTTAAACAAATGGGTCAAGAAAACGTGCTTGTAGGTTTTATGAATAGTGACCCATAATATTATCATGTCGTTTATCGTTTATCTTAACGCCACCACTGACCCCTCTCGATACGATTAAACTGTTCCAACGGTTATCGACGGTGGCGATTCTTCGACACGTATTATCAGTACTATTGTTAAATTAAAATGCCTACACGTCTTACTTGTCTTAAACTCCTGTTCATTTTCCTATCTGTTCAACAAATTATAATATGTCCAATGGACCAACCTATTAATCGATTAATGAAACTGGCAAACGAGCCCCTATTTTTTCAGTGAACCCGACGCAATGCATGTAGTCCAAAATTGGAAATGGATTTGAGAAGTGTGTACTAGACTGGTGACTGTATAAGTAGTATATATAATTATACTGTTTACAATATTATACATACGATTTAAATATTTTTGAATTTTTAAAATATAAAATCTGTTATGACACTAGAAATAAATTGTTTTCAGTTGTGTTTAACAAATGTATGTTTACTTGAAATTGTGAATAGTAAACACGCCAGATAGATACTTCCTAATAAAATTAAGAAGACTTCATTAAAAGTCATAAACAATACTGTGAAATTTTATAAATTTAATTATAAATGTTATCTGTTCATATGATAATAGGGGATATTATGCAATAACACCTTAATCCACAAAACAAGAACTACAGATTGTATAAATAACACCTTTATCAATTTGATATCTCCATAAATGTATGTTATTTTGTTCTGATATTTGTATACCCTATATAATTTAACACCTTCGTCCACTAACCCCTTCAATAATTATAAAGATGTGTAAGTTGTGTAAAAGAGTATTTGGCCCTCATCAACGTCACTGTATCGTTGTAAATAAAATGTTTAATACGAATGTTTTCTGAAAAATAGGACACCTATATTTCCCTAGTATTTAAATCCTTTCAGCTCGTATAATATCATGACGTTATGTACCCTGCCATTTACTTGAGCGCAGGTGTCCTTTTATATAAAATATATAAACACATAAATAAATCAATAAATACATATTATAATGCATATAATATTATAGTATTGTAATACGTATTATGACACGTCGTCGAGTTATAATATTATCATTCTACCACGTGCCGTAGTCGACTGTCCGTGGCAGTGGCACCTACGACGTCGTCGTGCGGAAGTTGAGGAGCAAAGCCTGCGGAAACTCGGTGAAAAATCAGCTGCCACTGTTAAGAGATTACGCGCGTCCGACGTCCCATTCGGAATAGCAAATATAATAATATTATCGGTCCATTTTACTGGAGGAAACTCGCTCGCGTACAAAGCCTGACGTGTGTAACCTTACACAATACACGTGTATTTTATATATATATACGTTTATTATATGTCTAGAATCGAGCGTTGGAGTTTAATGTGAACGGTTTTAATCGAATTTATTTATCACACGACCCCGATGATACGGCTGGGCGTGTAAAATAATAAGAATACAATATAAATAGAAATATGTAACAGCAGCAGAAGAGGTCACTTTTCTTTTTATACCCTGGTCGAGGTAAAAATAAAACAAAAACAAAACGAGAATACCGATCGTATTATACTTTGTTGTTTTTTTTATAATATAATATGTAAGTTATAGCGACGCGTGACTCGCTATTAATTCAATACGTATTATTATTAATATACAATAATTCGTAAATGCCTCACGACGTATAAACCCATTCTTATTTTACGACAACTTATAATGTGGGAAATTAGACGACGCACAACAGAATTAATTGCCAAAATTGATAGCACGGGACATCCGTACGACATAATTGAAACGTTTTATTAAAACCTTCACAATACTCTTTGATTAATAGCTCGGACAGACGAACGTAAAACGCATTAAAGAACGTTTCGGATAATTTATTTTACCAAGCACCTCTACAACCCACTTCTTCGTGTAATAAATCTGGACTAAACTCGATATAGCTTCGATTAAACAGAAATGTATGACATCGTATACCGTTATGGATATTATTTTGATGAGCTAAAAACAGGTCAGATGATGAAATTATTGAACATTTGAACATTTGAACTCTGCAAACAAAATATTTCATGTAAATTTCTTATGATAATAATTTTCAAGAGTTTTGGTAACAGTAAGTACATACGTCTTGTATGTACCCTTCGTATTTTTACTAGATACTGTAGCTATAGGGTAACATATTATATTATTCGCTACCCAAAACTTTGAATGCTAATAAAATATTAAATTACTTGTTGAATATTTGCTAATTATACGTCGAAACTATACCTTGAAAATAAATTACGTCATAACTTTAAATTGAAAATAGCGATATCAGTAGAAAATGTAATTTTCTTAGAATATCGATAAATTTGCTGATTTTACATCGGTGTTTCATAAGTTATTTTTTTTCCCTCTATAATTGTTTGGTGGCATGGAAACT